CTTTTCCAGAGGCAGGTTTGGGTTTTTCATGCCAGGCATTTGCATATATTTTACAGCACATACCCACTGCTGAGAGAAGTTGATTACTCCAGGAGTATTCCCCTGATTTCCCCTATTACCTGGTGTGATCAGGCTGGACACCAGAAGATCAGGGCAACCTTTCAGAAAAAGGGGGGAAATATCTGGACCAGTGAGTTGGAGATGCACTAAGAAAGGAAGAAAAGGCCAGTGCCAAAAAGGGTGCCCAAAGCAAGCAGGGAGGGTAAAAGGAGACATTATGAAAACCTCACATCCAGCCCCAGGCAAACAGGAAGCAATTCTGAGTGCTCAAGGCTGCTGCTTGGGTTTGGCAGAGGGGATGTTTTGATGATATTTCTCTGGCTGGCTGCAGGTAGATGGCTGAGGTGAAAGCTGCCCAGCCTCAGAGAGGGGTTTTCCTTCTAGTGGTGATCTGTGGGGCCGAGGCAGGCAGGAGGCCAGGAGCAGCGGTCAGGCTCCCTGGGCTTTTTCTCACAGCTGCCCTGTGGACTGAACGCTCCCTGCGGGATGGCAGGGATCCAGTGGGAAGGAAGAGGTGTAGGGAAGAGGCTCTGCCACTCTGAGACAGGCAGCATGGGTACATATATGTATCCTCTCCTCATCAGGTTTAATGCAACATCAGCCAGAGCTAATAATCCCTCTGAGTATGACTACTCCAAGGATGGGTACAAAGCTTCTGTGTGGGGAGACTTTACAATCCCACAAGAGCCCCTGCTCTGCACTCACCTGAACCCCCCCTAAGCCAGGGCCTCCTTGTCCTGCCCACCACAAGCAACAGGGCATGTAACTTTGCAATAGCCCAGACAGGCTGGAAGAAGGATAACATCCTTCCCTTCACCCTCCTCCGGAGAGTTAGTTGTTCTCCCACCTGGGCCAGGCTGAAGGCCCCATCCCAGCTGGTCAAGCCTGAGCTGCTGGAGACGCTCAGCTTGTTTTTGGCTCACAGCCATCTCTGCAAACCCCCAGATACTCTCCTGTGTCAGCAGCCTCGCACAGCACATTCCCTCTGCCCGCAGACATGTCCTGCACATCGTCCTGCGACAGCCCCAGCGGCACCAGCGTGGCTGCAGCGCTTGAGGCTGTGCTTCAGTGAAAGGGGATCTTGAGTCTCCCAGGGATGAGGGATTGCTCTAGGCAAACTGCTTTGCCTCTCCTTGGCACCTGCCTCATGGCTCCCCCTTTTTCCTGGGCGATCTGCTCCCCCCCCCCATGCCTCAGGGATCTCTGCTGCAGCCAAGGTGGAACCGTGTCAGTTCAGGGCAAAGAATCGCCTGGAAAAAACAATTCAGGCAGTTCCTGGCTGCTTTTAAACACCAACACTGGCCATTTTATACTTTATACTTTATAAAAATCTACTTTTAGCAGAAATCAACAAGGTCCTGTTTTATTTATTCTCTCCCCAACAAACCTCATTTCTCATTTTCAGTTTTTCAGTGACACTGGCTTGGGAAGACAAGCTGCTTCTCATGGGCCATAGCACCAAAATCACCTTATTTTGGTCAGGCCGGACCAGTCACTTGTATTTATAGGCAGTGCCTCTGTATGTGCCAGCCCATATATTGGTGGCAGATCCCACCCAGGAAAGGGATTCAGGAAAAGCCCAAAGGTGAAATGCAATGGTCTCTGTGGTTCAGGTGATCTTTGTATCCGTAAGAGGAGCCATAGGGAGCTGGTAGCAGGGTTCCAGTCCATCCTGGGGCCGTGCCACAGCTCTGTTCTCCCTGTTCCTGGGGTGGCAGCAGGCTCTGTGCCAAGGTGCTTCCCAGCTCCTCTTTCCCTGCAGTGCAGTGGGATGAGTTTGCCAGGCTCAGTGTGCTGTGGTGACGGGCTTTGTCTTACCTGCCATCGGCACCTACAAACTGGGGCTCTCGAGAGGCTCATTCCAAGGCAGGTTTTGGGGAAACAGGGATGGCCAGGCTCATGTCAGCCCCCAGCATGGGCTGAGCAGGGGCAGAGCCAGGGCTGTTCTTCCCCTTGGAGGAAACCTCAGCTCAAACAGCTCAAGCAACTGCCTTGGGATTTTGTGCCATGCAAGTCTTCCCTACCCCTCCAGAGCCAAGTGCGGGAATTTTACAGAAATGCCATTTTGTGGGAATTCATCCCTTGTTGTGCTGTGATCCAGGCAAGTGCAATAAGGAGCTTTATCAGCTTTATCCAGGTCAGCTGCCTGGCTTTAAGAATTGTGGGGATCTCTCTGTAAACCCTCTGCTCCTGCAGCAGAGGAGCCCATGGACTGACAGTGTGGTGACACCTTTCTTTTATGGGACAACATGGTTTGCAGCATTAATCCTTGTGGGGTGATAGAGAAGCATAAAGGAAATCAGCAGTTGGGTTTTCCTGGAGAAAAGGGAGAGGGCTCAGGCAAGTTCCTTTGCTCTCAGGGTAGGTTTTGAGAAAGAACAGCTTTCACTCATGAATTGAGGGGAATTTTCTCCTCCCTGCCCCCCCAGATTTCACTACAGTGAGAGCACAGCGTAGAATAAAACTATGTCCTTAAAAAAATCAGCCTCGCAGACAGGCAGCCTTTGTCTGAAGGTGTAATTACAGGATAAATATGGGATGCAGACCAAGATATGCAGTCTGGTCAGGCATGCAGTCTCTTAGAAAAACACAACAGAAAACAAGGCTGTCATTTAATACTGAAATATCCACGTGTGCTGCAGCCCTCACAGGGTCCCTCCCTGGCCCACGGGTCTCCCCACTGACCCAGTGTTTGGCTGTGAAGCCAAAGCCTGGACCAACTGTGGGAACTGCACCGAGCCCTGCGATGGAGCAAAGGGCAAGGGTGGATCCAGCCTCCAGTAGAAGTTGGATGAGGGCAGGAGATTGCTGGGAGGATGGGTTTCCTTCCCTCCAGCCCCTGTGCACAAATCCCATCTGATAGTGCTGTGAGGAGACACGGAGGATTAGCTCATCCGATCCCATTAAATGGAGCAGGAGCAAGCGAGGAGAAGGGAATGGGGGGTCAGGACAACAGCAGAGCAGCCGCAACTTCTGACGTTCGGGACAAACCTTGTGCCAAGCTGGAAAAAGGCCTTTTTGTGGATTTCTGTGGGCCAACCTGGAGGCTTTGCTTTGTGGCCCAGCAGGGCCACCTGGGTATTAAACTGAGGGGCATCTAAGGTGGCATTTCAGAGACTTACCCACCTTGACAACTCTCTTCCTTGGCAATGGCAGCTTCTGCCTCAAGCAAGAACTGCCTCTCCATGGCAAGCCCAGCCATGCCATTACAGCCACTCCTGAGTGCTCCAAGAAGGAGGCACAGAAACAGCAGGATGTACCTGCAGTCCAAAGTCAACTCTGGATTAGACCAGTGAGGGAAGCATTACCCTAGAAAGATCCCATTGAGAGGGGTACATTGAGAGCACATCTGTAATTTATTAAAGCTCTCATTGTTGCTACATCATTTTGTGCCACCTGCAATGACCCCCAGGAGAAGCAGTTTTGGCTGGTGGCCCTGTCCCACAGGGCACATGTCCCCTTGCTGCTCGTGGGCTTCTTGCAGAAAGGGTCTCTCTGGTGACAATAAGCATCACCACAGCGTGGCCAGTTCCCCACAAAGCACAGCTGTGGCAGAGGCAGTACAGCTGCAGGTTGTTGAAAGAGTGGGAAACAGGGTGCTTACTTTAAGGCAAGCCTGAGCCTTTCAGGCGTGTTTTATTTCTCCAGGCTTAAATCCCTGGAAAAGAGGATGGTTTGGGGTTTTTTTGGCATTGGTGTGGATGGAGAAAGGGTAAGGCTGCATTTGTTGCAGCTCCTGTTGTGGGCTTCCTGCTTGGTTTCTCTGGATGCAGGTGTGTCCTTGCTCTAAGGCTTTGTCTCTTGCTGTGGCTTTCCCAAGGCATGCTTTTCCTCCCAAATCCATGCCTGTCCTCCTCTAGGGAAAGAGCAGGGCAAGGCCTGGCAGCAGCCAGAGCGGGGTGAGCAGGAGGTCCCTCTCCTAGGGGGACAAACCTCCCCCTGGTCGGCACAGGGGGAATTCAGCTGCTCTGGTCTCGGAAGGAGCCGCGTGTCCCCCGTGGCTTCCCGACGTGCCTGGCACCGGGCTCCGCCGGTTTAATGGGAGCAATTAGCCCCGCGGAAATCTGCATGGGTCGGGGGCGTGTTTTTTCTCTGTCCTGTGACGTTTTGGACGGGAAGCTGGAGGGTGTCCAGGAATAAATGCTCGTGCTTGGCTAGAAATGACAGGCTGGAGCCAGCCGGGGCTGAGGCAGCCCAGGTGAGAAGGGTTGGTTGTCACTGTCCCCTCTTGGCCTCGGCTCAGCCCAGCACCCGGTTCCCTCGACACTTGCTTTGTATTTCCCTTATTTGCTTGACCTTGCCCCTGAACCTGGAGTTCCCCAAGCCCCGGAGCGCCGCCTGCACACTGGATGGGAGGGGGATGCTGGGCACCCCCTGCATCCCTTCCCCGGCTGTGGCAGCTCAGTAGGTATTCACTTCTTGTGCTGTTTTACAAACGATTAACTTAAATTTTATTTTCTCTGCAAAAGCCAACTTAACGGTACTTTTCAGGAGGCATTTGCCCGTGACCTGGGTCCGGCGTTCCCCCCAACGCTGGCTGAGCTCTGTGAGCTTTTCCCAGCGCGCAGCTGCGGAATATCCATCCGACCTCAGTGACCCTGCTGCTTTCCCAGCAGGAAGCCTCCAAACAAAACCCGATTCACTCAGCAAACCCAGGGCTGCTTGTGATGCCGAGAGCTGCGTGTGAGGCAGGGAGGGGGCTGACGCTTTCCACCGCCTGTGAGCGATGAGGGTGCGCCAAAAAGTGCCAATTTTTGCACCCTCTCCCCATCCAGCCTGTGTCGAGCGCCCTGAATTCACACCTTGAGGGCAGATGATGCCCGGCCCCGCTCGGAAAACCTCCGCAGCCGGGGCGGGCGGGTGGCTGCGCAGGGCTCCGGAGCGGCTGCTCCCCGCCGGCCGGCCCCGCGCTCCTCAATGCCGCCTCTGTTCTCCCTCCGGCGTCAAAAACGCAGCTTTTGTGAGCTCAGCCCAGCCGCAGCCCGTCGCTGGAGCCCCAGCACGCTCCTCTCGGCCGGCAGAAGCGCAGCCCAGCTGTGCCCAGCCGCCGCCTCCTTTTATTTATTTATTTTTGCTTTTGGCCAACAGCTCTAGTTGGGGAGGGGGGACGTGTGGCTGCTGGGAGCCCTTCGGGCTCTTCAGCAAGTCTTAGGTGGAGGCAACCCCTCTCCTCCAAGGAAACGCCTGGCTTCTCCCTCAGGTGGCTGTTGTAACCCAAAATACTTGGGGGAGAAAAAGGATGTGCTGCAAAGAGAGCTAAAAATAGGCATTTTAATTAATGAAATGTGAATTGGACGGGGTACCTCAGTGCCGGGTGAACGTCTGCATGTGGCAAACACCCTGAAACTCCCTGGGCCTCCACCAGGTTTGGTCACCCACCAGTGCTATTGGCCTATATTTCTGGGGCTCCCCCCGGGGCGGGGGAAACCCACCAATGCTAAGGAGACAGGAGAGGCTTTGAGCTCTGTGCTGGTATTTTTGTTTTTAATCAAGTAAGTCCGACCATCTTTCATCACTGCCGAAGTTTGCAGTCGCTCCCGCGTGGGGCTTGGGGGGTTTACAGCCCATCGGTCCCTGGGGGCTCTCCCAGGATCATACAGCAGGACACATGTTGGTCTCCAGCCAAAATGGGACTTCCCTTCTGGGTGTCTCCCTGTTTCTTTGTGGTATGTTGTGCTGCTCTGATTTTTGGGCTTAGCTCTTTGACCAGCCTCCCCCTCCTTTCCACAAAATAAATAAATAAATTCACCTGGTATGCAAATACACAGGGAAAAAAGGCAAAAACCCCAAACCTCCCAAACCAAGTTTGAAGAGCACCAAACCACAAAGTCAACTCATTTTGTTGCAGCCTAAGTGCCATCCAGGGCACTGTGGGCAGTTCCCAGTCTGTGCTAGTGTATGAAGGCACAAAACCAGTAAGGCCTCTGGGGTCTGTGTCTTTGCTGGCACCACAGCGATCTTGTCCCTGCCCTGTCCCAGCTGGGACAGGGAGTGGCAATGCAGAGGTGCTTGGTCCTGTCACCTTCAGCTTGCCCTCACCCTCCTCTTCCTCGGTGCAGCTCCCAGGCTGGGGAGGTGGCCCTGGTGCCGAACCCACTGCCCCTCACCTTTGCCTTTTCCCCGTTCCCGGGAAAATTGTGTAATTCAGGCTCTGCAGGACTCTGGGGTCAGCTCTGCCAGGATGCTCCAGCTCCTGGGGCTGCCATGTGGCAGCAGCCAGGAGCATTTTCAGGAGCAGTGACCCCCAGGTCATCTCCGGACCGGCCGGGAGCAGGGCCGCAGCCCCTCGTTCTGCCCCGCCGCCGTCCCCCGGTGCTGTTACGTGATCCAGGAGGGCTGTGCCTCCTCCAGCAGGCTGAAGGAGCGGTTGGCCAGCTCGGCGGGGCTGCTGGCCAGCTTGTAGCCAAAGAGCTGCATGGCCGGGGCGCAGGCGTCCTGCACCACCTGCGCCAGCTTGAAGGGCATGCTGAACCGCCACTTCTCGAACTGCTCCGAGGAGTTCTTGCACGTGGAGTAGACGCCATTGCCGTCATGGGGCGCCTGCGTGTTCTTGCCAATCCACTCCTCCACCTGGGGGGTGAGGGGCAGCCCGGCGAAGCGGTACATCTCCTCCGCCTTGGGCAGGGGTGCCCGCGCCACGTCCTCATAGCGCACCAGCATGTACCGGCCCCGCAGCCAGCCCGGCCGCCGCAGCCCCAGCTCGGCCGACGCGCGGATGCTCTCGCAGTTGCCCCGCAGCCGCTGCACCTCCTCCTCGTGCAGGGGAGCCTCCCCTTCGGATGCCCACTTCTTCCAGGTCTCGTACTTGCCCGAGAAGGCCACCATGCGGGAGGCCAGGACGGCCCGGGGGTCCCGCACCAGCTGGATGATGCGGAGGTCCAGACGAGGGTCCTCCACCAGTGGCTGCAGAAACTCCAGCTGGCGGACGCGCACCGTCTTCAGGGCCACGTGCTGCTTGCGCCGGCACGCCTCGGCGGCCAGGGTGATGTTGAGGGGGCCGCAGCGCCTGTTCTTGCAGTAGTACTTCTCAAAGACCTTCTTGGCGCTGGGCGTGCAGACAGGGTCCTCGCAGAGTGAGCGGCTGGAGCCCCGCCGAAACAGGAAGGGCGTCAGATGGCCCTCGGGCACTGGCGAGATGAAGTTCTCCAAGATGTAGAGGTCGCAGAGAAGGAGCTGCTTGAGGACATCTCGGTAAACCAAGGCTGAGCCCACGGCACTGGCTCCCCCCGGCAGGAAGGTCACCGTCTTCTCGACGTGCCAGAGGGGCTCAAAGAGGTAGAAGATGCTGCCTTGCTGGTTGAAGAACTCCCCCACGAAGGAGGAGCCAGTGCGGGTGGTGGCCATTAGCAGGACGTGCCGCCGCGGCCCGGGGTCTCCATCCCCTGCCAGCTGCAGGGTGAGGTTGTGCAGGTGGGACCTCAGCTGGGAGAAGGCAGCATCCAGCTCCTGCAGCGAGGCCAGTGAGCCGTTCTCGGCCGGCGCCAGGCTGACCTCTGTGCTGTTGGCCTCTGTCAGTGCCTGGGGGGACTGCTTCAGCTTGTCTGACACCCTGTGGGGAGACCCAGCCCAGCCTGGAGGAGAGCGGGACCACCCCTGCATCCCGGCGGGGGATTTGGGGGGCCCTCACTGCACAGGAGCTCGGGACGTGGGGGAAAGAAAGGGTGAAAAGTGTGGGGTGGCTCAGGTACCTGCTCCCTACCTGGAGATGAAGTTGTTCTCCTTCTCGATGATGACGAGGCTGACAACAAAGACCAGTAGGACGGCGTACTTGCTCCTCATCTTCAAGAAGTGCAGTAGTTCCCAGATATCCTGGGGTAAAGCGCGTCGGATCTCCATGGGGAGCACACACAGATCTCTCCTGTCTGCTGGGAAGGTGTCCTGGGCTAGGGCATCCTCTGTCTTGCCAGCCCTGCCTGTGGGGGAAAAAATGGTCAGCATTGGTGGCGGTGGTGGCTCCCTGCAGGCAGAGTCAGAGACTGAACCTTCCCGAGAAAGGCTTGACAAGAGCAGTAAAAAAGGGGGAGCTCCTCCCTACTGTTCCATCCCACCCCTGAGGAGCAGCTTCATGAAGGCCCCATCAGCTGCTCCCCCTCCTTCCCAAAATACATCTGCCAGACAGGACCCCTTCCCACGCTTCCACCAGCCACCCCTGCGTGCCCTGAAACCCAATCCCTGCTGCCCTGACAGCTGCCTGCTCCCCACTGGCAAAACCTGCTGCCCGCAGTGAGGGACCCCTCGGATCATCCCGGTCTGTGGCACATTGTGGCTCCCAGCCTTTGGAAAGAGCTGCTTTTGGGGAGGGTTGGAGGCTCTGCCGTAGGGCCCCGGTGTGGGGCCGCGTTGCTTCTGCCTTCCCCCAGTGCAGCAGCAGCAGCTGCTCAGTACTGAAAATGAAACCCAGAGAGTTTCCAGGAACGATGACGGGCCGGAAAACGCTGCTGCTGCCAGTCCCCTTCGGGGTGTAAAATGCTCTGGGTGGTGGTGGGATTTTGCCAAAAAGGAAAAAAAAAACTTGGTGTGGGACGCAAAACCAGGAGACTTGGCATCCCTGCCCAGCAGAAAAGATCCCCCTGCATCCTTCCTTTTCATCCTCCTCCCAGTGCTGAAATTGGGGTGTTGGTGGAAACCACTCTGCGTTGCTGCAAACCCACACACCAGCTGGGATGTGGTGGAGATTCTGGGGACCAAAGCTGCTGTTTGGAGCTCTGGGGCAGGTCCCCAGCATGTGTCGAGTGTGCACATTTACACTCCTAGGGCTCCTGTTCCCTGCCCGCTGGTTCGCGTGCCCGGACAGCTGTGTGGGTGACGCCGTTTGCTCGTCCTGCTTTCTTGGCCAGACTTTCAGTGACTCAGGGAAAGTCTATTTGGCTTTTGTTTGGCTCTGCCAGCATGATCCCAGCAGCCTGTACCACCCCTGCTTTCTGGGGTGAAGGGGGGAGCCAGGCACAGCCCCATTCGTTGGGGAGTGCCGGGGTTTGCCAGAGGGGAGATGCCCCAACCGAGCCGCGGTGCCCTCATCCCTCGGCAGGGTGTGGAGCAGGGAAGCCCTGCCAGGCATTGCGTCACATCCCAACCTCCTCTGCATCGTGCTCGGCCAAAATGTGCTTTATTTGGTGTTGCTTGCTCTATGTCCCTCCCGCAGGGAAGGAGGGAACACGGGCAGGAGGGGAGGGATGTGCCCCGTGGCCAGGGCAACATCCAGACTGTCCGGTCCCCAGTCCTCCCTGTGTGAGGACCAGGAGTTTCCAGGCTTGAGCAAACCATTCAGCTCTCAGGGCTTGGCTTTCAGCCATTCCCTTCCCAGCAAAAGCTTCTAAAAAGAGACACTTGCACTCATGCATCCAGGAAACTCAGGATTCGGTGGGATGCAGGGACTCTGGAGAGCCCTGGCAGCTCTCGAGTCCTCCCTCAGGGGCCCTCCGGCTTCCCCCTTCAGCAAGTGGCACCGACATTGCCCGGCACACGTGTGTATGTGTGTGTTTAACAGCCCTGTTGGCTCAGTTTGTCAGCACACTGCTCCTTGGGGACAGGCCAGCAGCCAGGGCAGGTGCCTTTCACCGCGTGGCCCCCTGGGTCCCCCCTCCTTGGTCATGCCCTTGTGATGACAGGACTTGTCGGAGTATTTGAGGAACTGAGTAAAGAAATCAAACATACAAAGCCCTCAATGTGCAGCCGCATCTCTCAGCACCTTGCCGGAGTTGCCGACTTGGCTGTGGCAAAGGACTTCTGGGTTTGTGGCATCCCAGGGAGCGGTGGTCCCCATCATTGCCCTGGCCTGGGGCTGGGGACAATCCCCTTGCTGCCTGCAGCGCGCACGCAGGGGGATGCCATCATCCACTTCCTCAGACAAATCCATGGGCAAAGCCAGCCTGGGATTTTCCCCCTCTAATGCCGCCAGCTGCTCGACCACAAATGAGCCACAGACCAGGAATTATTCACAGGGATGACACAGAGAGCCATGTCCAGCAGTGCTGGCAAAACCCTCATTCCCAGGCCTGGGGCAGACATAATTCATTAAATAAACAGCCGGCTGCAAACGTCCGGCTCGGGACCCGCGGGGCGGCAGCGACAGGCACAGGGGCCCCGTCAGGGCTGAGCCGTGGGGCCGGGGACACACAGGTGACATGGTGAGGCTGGTGGGGGCTGCTTGGCATCCCAAAGCTCTTCCTCGCTGGGGCACAGACCGGACGGGGCAGTGCGCAAGCCACAAGCGTCCCTTTGTGAGGGGGAACAGAGGGGCTCTGTGTGCCCCGTGTGCTCCCCTCCGGGGTTCCGCTGGGATGGGAGGGATGAGGAGAACCACCAGGATGCTGCTGCCGCCCCGGGGTACCCCACCAGTGACTGCTCCACTGGTGTGAGCAGAGCAGACAGACAGACGGATGGACGTTGTCCCTGGTGATGGCAGGCAGCTTCTCTCCTCTTGCTCTGCACATCCCAAAGCAAAGAGTGGTAATTTCCAGGAACTGAGGCACCCCTGACTTTTCCTTCAGGCTGGAAGTGCTTTTCATTTCATCAGGGACTGCTACAATTCCCACTGCTGAGAGGATAAAGGATTTATGGATTTCCCAGCTGAGTCAAAGCCAGCAGAGGGGCGGATTTTTTGGGTGGTGGCGGGGATTTTGTTCCCATGCAGAGCTGCCCAGGTGGGATCTGCTACTACCAGCAAGTTACCCTAACCCTGCCACAGCAAGGAGGAAGGACTCGAACAGTAATGGAGACACCAAACCATTCCAGTCCGCTGGAGCAAGTCAGCTCATGGGATGGATGTTCCCAATGGTGGTGCAGGTGGGATGAGCAGGGTAGTGTAACTCCAGAGCAAGGACAGCAAGGCCCGTGGGGAGAGGAAGGAGCAATGGGATGCTCTTGTCACTCTTCTGCAGAGCATTTTGCAGGACTGCCTGATTGGGAGAGAAGAGCCAGGGTTTTCAGCTTGGTTTTGGGCAAGGGAAAGTCTTCCACGAGCCTTGGGGCTCTAATCCCCCTCCTCTGGCTGCCCTGAACCCACACCAGGTGAGCTCCAGGAAGGAAAGGTGCCTGTGGCTGGCAGGGGAAACGAGCTGGAGGTGAGACTGGATGAAGTCACACTTTCCTCCGGTGACTCAACAGGCAACAACTGCACTTTGGACAAGGAGCAGCAGTGAAGCACCTACGTGCAAGCTCCCTCCCTGCCCCAGATCCCTCTGTCCATCCAGCCCCCATCTGCTCCCACGCAGAGCCCCCAGGGAGCTGCAGCTGAGCTCGCTGCCCCCTGCGCTGCTGCTGCTGCTCTGAGTAATTCCCTCCACGATCCTTTGCTTCATCAGATTTCCAGCAGACACGAGGGCCAGCAAAACACAGGGGTGGAACAACAAAGAGATAAGGAGCATGGGCTTATCTGCTGTCTGCACTGCTCTTTGTCTGCAACCTGGGAAAAAAAAAATCCTCTGTATTTACTCTATCAACTATTTCCGCTCCCAGCTTCCTCCCAAGGCTGGCTTTGGGAAACGTGCCACCGGAGCTTCCCACTTTGCTTTCATCTCCCGGCAATTTTCACCCTGGCCCTGGCTGTCCTCCAAGCCCTGGCACAAGCACAGCACTGCTTCGGCTTGCCCTGCAGCACATGTAAGGAATCTGTCTGGACAGGTATTTTTTGGTTAAAAACATGTCTAGTCAAGCCAAAAAAAGGAAGGAGGGGGGAGAAATGTCACCGCCTACGATGTTTATAAAGCTGCTGAAAATAGCCACAGGCCACATCAAATTGAAGCCTGGAAACTGCCCATCAGAGAAGAAAGTTTGGAACGGAAAGTCCTTCTGGCTGAGGTTACACTCAGGAGCAGCAGCAGCGGGTGTTGGTACAAACAGGCACCACTGACACAACTTTGTTTTCATTGCATGAGCTCTCAAACTCCAGATGCACAAGGCTGTCTCCTGTCCACTCTTTATTGTCCCACCCTGAGCTTGGGGGTGAACCAGATGAGCTGTCCTTGCTCCTCGTCTCCCAAGAAGCACTGAATCCCAGACAGGATTTAGAGGCAGGTGTTGGCACAGTAATGCCAGTGACAGGACCAGCACAGGCTTCATGGCCAGGACAGACCAGTCTGGGCTCTCCCTCACCTTGGTGGTGTCCAAGAGAGGTGTTTTGTCCCAACCCAGCAGAGAGGAGAGCTGCTGCTCCCACCCCCGGTGATTGTGATGGAAAACACAGAGGCATCTGTGATGGGCATGGGGGAAAATGTGCATCTGCCAGGCAGGGACCGGCCTCTGGGGTTGGATCTGGACCAGGAGGCAGCTGAAACACCTACCACCTTGAAGCCAGCTTGCTGGAAACCACAGGCACCGCTGGGGTGGGTTTTGCAAGTATCACCTGCAGCAAAGGTGAGCGACTGGACGGGCCGAGCTGCCGGGCAGCAAGGGGGTCCGGAGCACAGGCCACCAAGGTGGGCGAGGGGCCTGCCCGGCCCCGTGTGCCCGGCGCTGGCGGCACAATGCCGGCTGCTGTGCGTCCCGGCAGCCCCCGGCCACGCCGGCAACCGCAAGTGCGCGGCCCTGCCTCAATGAGCCCTTTCTCTGGGGCGCAGAGCCCACGGTCCCTCCCACCGCCCCGCGCTCCTTCTCCTCGCTGCTCCGCACTAGCCTGGAAGCTCCTCCGCCAAACCCACCCCAAAACCAGGGACACCGCTCTCTCTGTGCCCTGCTCCGTGTCCCTTTCACCCCGAGACAGGCGTCTGTAGCGCTCCCGGGACGTCTGGGAGGGACCAGTGGCAATAGATGTTTGCTGGGGGGAAATAGTGACCTGTGCCCGGGTCTTGGTGCGAAAATGAGTCGCACGCTGAAGCAACATGGCAGATGTGGGAAATCTGCAGAGTTAAATCCCTGTCCTGGTGTGATGTTGTGGAAAAAGAGACACTTTCCCCGGGGCAGCAAAGGCAGTGGGATGCGGGCAGCTCCCCCAGATGTGGGAGCGGCTACTGAAATCTCAGCAGGCACTGAGTGGGGGCTCTGCTGGGGCAGTCTTTTTCATCCCAAGGTACCCCCATACCAGCCAGGTCCCCTCTGGGGCCGTGAGGATGTCGAAGCCCCAGCTCCGGCAGAAATGCCGCTGGCTCCTCGGTGCCGGGAGCCGGCCGAGGGCCAGGGTGCCCCGGAGGCCCCGAGGCAGGAGGGGAAAGGGTGAGGACAACTTTCCAGTGCTCCCTGGTAGGGGCTGACAGGCCGGATGATGCAACTCCGGGATGGTTGTGAGAAAGTCTCCTTTTCCAAAGTCTCCTTCTGCCGCCCCAGCCGCGCTTCGCTCCGGACGGAGGCTCAGCGCTGCCGCCGCAGAGCTCGACTCTATTCCATTGATTGCTTTTTTTCCTGTTTTTCTTTCCCCGAAAGAAAGGCACGGGGAGAGCTGCTGGGGCAGTCATGTGCCGGGAGGACTCTCTCTCGGAGGCAGGGCGCTGGGATCCGGCTGTCGGCCGAGGGGAGTGAGGGACGGAGGCACCGCCGGCGCTGCCCCGCTGCGGGAGCGGGCGGCCGGGGCCCCGCACCGAGACAAAGGAGCGGCCGATGCCGGAGGGCACACAAAGGACCCAGCGGAACCCGGGGCCGCCCTGCGGGGGGATGCGGCCGCCGAGCCCCCGGGCTCCCCGCCGGCCTCGCTCCCCCTCCCCGGGGGGGCTCGGGGCCGCGGCCCCTCCTCGCACGCCCAACTTCCCGCAACTCCCCGCCGCGCCGGGAAAGGCCCGACCCCCGCCGCCATCCTCCCCCCCGCCCCGGGGCTCCCGCTGCCCATCGCCCCGGTCCCGGCCCCCGGCTGCGCTCCGGCCCCATCGGTCCCGTTCCCGGCCCCCGCCGCACCTACCGGCGGTAGCTCCGTGGGGCGAGCTCGCCCGGTCCTGCCGTGCGGGAGGAGGGACGGCAGAGGGTCCCCTGCTTTTCTTCACGGTGCTGTCATCCTCCCTCCCTCGTTCCCTCCCTCCCCTCTTCGCTCCCTCCTTCCTTCCTTCCTTCCTCCCTCCCGGTGCAGCGGCGGGGGGAGCGGTCCCGGCGCCTGGACGCGGGTCCCGGGGCGGAGCCGGGCAGGGTCCCCAGGCCAGCCCCCGCTGCCTCCCCGCTGTCCCCTCCCCGACACGCCACGCCGGGAAACCGGGAGTTGCCGGCCCTAGCCCCGGGATCGCTGGAAGGGGTCGCCTGGCCGCTGGGGTGGGGAAGTGGGGGCCTGGAGCGCACAGACACCCCGCGAAACTGTCAAGGCAAGATCCCTACTGGGCACCACGGTGTGATCTGGGCTGCAGGCTCATGTCTAGTTCCCTGCCCAAAGCGGGATCACACTGGGGTGGTCAGGGCTTTATCCAGCAAACCTCCAAGGATGGATCCAGTATAACGTCTCCCTGCCTGCTGTCGTCCTGGAGAAAATGTTTCTCCTTATATCCACTCCAAATCTCTCCTGTCCCAGTTTTCACCGTCCCACTACATGAAGAAGCTGGCTCCATCCCCATGACCACCTAGTGGGAAAGTTCCCCCTGCTTGTCCCCAGCCAAAACTGGCTCCAGGGTCAGCAGCTTTTTCCCCAAACTCCACTTTCTCCCCATACAGGAGCTTGGGGGAAGTTGTCCCCACTGTGGTGTGCTGTGCCAGTGAGCTCATGTCTGTGTGCTCCAGGAGGGCAGGGAGTGAGAACATCCTACTGGAAACAGCTCAGGAGTTGGGGGGCACTGGCTGTCACCGTCCCCGCAGGGCAGGGTAAGGGTTTGGAGCATTAAATCGTACAGAAACAGCTGTTTTGGTTTAAGTGCAGAAATTCATGCGTACATACAGCTCCCACAGAGCTCTGTAACGTTAGATATTGAGGAGCTGAAAGACATCTGGCTCTGCAGGCAGGGAGAGATCCAAAAAACTAGTCCCCATAAAAACTTTCAGCCTTCTTTTGCATTCCTGGCATAGTTTTTCTGCTACGCATGTGGCATAGGCAGAGAAACGCAGGTTTTGTTGGCATTGAAGTGTGAGGACCTGCATCACTCCTCTGCGGCTTCCTATCAGCCAAGGTGATGGGGACAGGTTTGCTCACAGAGTGCCAGTGGCTGGTGGCACAGTTGGCATGCAAACACCAAGGCAGGAAAGCCTGGGTGTGATGTTCGTGGTGTAGCCTCCATCCATCCATCCATCCATCCATCCATCCATCCATCCATCCATCTGTTTTTCCTGGTTTTATCTTGCACCCACAGCAGTAACTCCGTGATCCAGCTGCAGGCAGACACGGTGACTCCGGTACCCTCCTGCTGCGCTCTGGCTTCCACAGCGCTGCTGATGGAACCGGGGTGAAGGGCAGAGTCTGGGAAACTCTGCCTAAATGAGGCAAACCCGGCGCTTGCAGGATCAGGCCTGTGTGGGCTGTCAGGTTGATCATGTCAAAATAGAGTGGATAAGTCTGGCTGGCCGCACACCCGCAGGAGTTTTGTGGGGTTTGGAAACGTGGCGAAGCACTTTGAAGCTCCTCGCTTGTTATTTCAACTGAAACAGGGAATTCTGACTTGGATTTTGTGGGCAGAGGAGATCTTGGTGAAAACACAACCCTAATACGTAAATAATTTTGAGATGAGGGCAGAGAGAGGCTGGTGGGGAGTCAGACACTCACACTAGGGGGTTGTCACTGCCTTTGCAGGATGCTTTTGCGGTGGTCCCAGGGGGTGGCAGGAGCAGAAGAGGGACCTTCCCCACATGTGGGGCACAACCTGGACTGAAGCTCACCGTCCTGAGCCTGGGGTGTGCTCCCTGCCTGCTCTGCACACACACACACACACACACACACACACACACACACACACACACAGGCTCAGGGTGGAGATCACCTTCCTGCTTCATTAATAAGTAAAGCTGGCACAGGGAGAAACAAAGTGTCTTCTCCACCCCTCAAACTGCCGAGAGGCGACTGGAGAGGCAGGGCGCTGTGTTTCCTCCACCCTTCTCTAGCTGCGGGATCACATTCCCTTTGTCCCCCATTCCTCTTCCCCAGGGATAACAGAAACTGTTCTCCTTGCTCCCCGTGTTGCACGTGTGTACACACAGACAGACAGACAGACACACACACACGCATGCCTGCCATGCGGGAATAGGCAAGGGACCAGTCCCCAGAATGACATCAGGAGCAAGGAAAGGGGAACATGTTACTATAGCAACCAGGATGCTCTGGGGTTTCGGGGAATAGAGGCATCTGATGCTGATTTTCTGCCCTCGGTTCAAGCTGATGATGTGGTGGTGACCACATCGACTTAAAAAAGCCTCCACTGGTCTTTGTCCTATCATCACCAGGGCATTCAGCCTAGAAATCTTCCTGAGAAGACTGTCACCAAATTCTGTCTCCTGTTCTTCTTGGTGGATAATTGAGGTTCTTGTTAATAGATCCCTTGGGGCAGAATAGACTGAAAGGACACTGAATGACCAGTGTTTATATATATATATCTGTATATGTCAGGTTTATTTTGGAACAATTTGGTTGCAATGGAAAGGAAGTGTGTACCTTGTTTTGGTTATTATCTGTAGAAATATAGGAGTATAAAAGTATAAAATTATCACTTAAGAAAATATATAAGGAAAAGAAAGAATTAGAAAGGAAGGATAAGGGCAGACAGTGGAAAGATGTCAGCACCCATGGATCCAGTGATGAGACTTGATTGTTGCAATTTAGATGTTCATTGGTCTGAGTCTTGATCCGTTGGGGGTGGGGGAAGCCCCCAAATAATAGAGTCGAATAGGTTAATATAGACTCAGGTTCAGGTGGGAATGCCCAGGTACCTCCCCTGAGAGGGGAGTTTTACACTGTCACGTAACACTGTGGATCACTGGTGGAAGCCCCAGAAATTAATCTGGGGGCACTTCGGGGGTCTTTGATGGTTTATAACACCTAAGACATGACAGCTGCCTCTCATGTCAGCCTGGGTTTGCCAGTGATGCCTTATCAGAAGGATGTGAATGTACCTCCCCCAGAGAGGGGTTTTACACCTGATCCAGCTGTGTAAAGGAGGACATTGGCATGATAAAAAAGCATTATCCCACCTCTGCAGGATCTGCTTCAACAATTTGGGGATAAGATAGAGGTAAACAGTTGTCTTTTGGGTGGGCAAATCTACTTAATCTGTAGGGGACAAAACTAACATTCTGGGGGTAAATATTGAGTTAGTCTGTAGGGAAGAGAATGAGCAATTTAAGGTAAAAATGAGGTAATCAGTTAGTGGACAGGTAGGGAAAATTTTGTGTGCAAACCTTTAGGCAATCTGTAAAGGGACAGTGATTATTCTGGGGGTAAAATCTGAGATTATCCATAGGGGACAGAATGAAAACTTGCAATAATCTAGAGGTAATCAGTGGGGTTTTTTTGGTGGCAAAGTGTAGGCAATCTACAAAATGCCTACAAAGTGAACATTTGGGGGTAAATCTTGAGGCCATGAACATTTTAAGGTAAACTGTGGTAATATATTGCAGACAGATAGGGAAAATTTGGGGGATAAAACTTGACGTAATCAATAGGGGATAATGAATATTTTTGATGGGAAATCTGAGGTAATATGTAAGGGAGAGAATGAACATTTGAGGGATAAAATAGAGATATTCTTTTGGTATTAATCTGTAGGGGACAGATTAATCTGTATTAATCTGTAGAGGACAAAATTAACTTTTTCAGGGTAAAACTTGAGGTGATCTGCAGGGGACTAAATCTTCATGACAGATCATTGCACAATATCGTCTTTTTAGTTTTAGAAACATTTAACTCGGAGAGCAGCAGAGCTGATCCATGTCCCAAACCACTTCCGTCCCTTTTAAGCGCTGACAGCTCCATCTGCTGGGAGCAGAAAGAAAGGAACGATGGAAAACAAATGCAGGGAGAGATCACAGAATCATCATGGAATTCCAGACTGGTTTAGATTGGAAGGGACCTTCAGGATCATCTCATTCCACCCCCTGCCATGGGCCCTGACTCACAGAAGAAGATGATTTTTGACTGGATTAGGGAAGTGAATCAGCCCAGGGTGCAGAGAACAGCGCATGATGAGCCAGCCAGGCTGTGGGAGCGAGAGCACAGCAGCTTCAAACTGACAGAGAGCAGGTTTAGATGAGATATTGGGAAGAAATTCTTCCCTGTGAGGGTGGTGAGGCCCCGGCACAGGTTACCCAGAGAAGCTGTGGCTGCCCCATCCCTGGAAGTGTCCAAGGCCAGGTTGGATGGAGCTCTGAGCTAGGTTGCTACCTGGTCTAGTGGAAGGTGTCCCTGCCCATGGCAGGGGCTGGAACAACGTGATCCTAAAGGTCCCTTCCACCCCAAACCAGTCTGGAATTCCATGACGATTCTGTGATCTCTCCCTGCATTTGTTTTCCATCGTTCCCTTCTTTCTGCTCCCAGCAGATGGAGCTGTCAGCGCTTAAAAGGGACGGAAGTGGTTTGGGACATGGATCAGCCCTGCTGCTCTCCGAGTTAAATGTTTCTAAAACTAAAAAGACGATATTGTGCAGTGATCTGTTATGAAGATTTAGTCCCTTACAGATCACCTCAAGTTTTACCCCGAAAAGTTCGTTTTCTCATCTACAGATTAGCACAGACGTTACAGCCAAAATAACCCTCTGATTACCTCTATCTTATCCCCCAAATGTTCATTCTCTCCCCTACATATTACCACAGATTTCCCCCTGACTCTGAGAGTAGGAATCCCCAAAAGATCCTATTTATTGGCAGAAGAAACTTTACAATTCCTCTTTTTTTTCCTTTTCCTAAAGAAAATTCCCCGCGGATCATAAACAATTATTAATAGTTTCTCCTTCTGCCTCCAAGAGGGAGAAGGTTGATCTCAGTGCCAGGGTGCAGGTGTATCACCCTGGACTACGTGCAGAGCCAGCCCAGGGCCCCCAGTTTTCCAGCTGAGTGCCTATCCATGACCTGTACCTGGCCTTCCCAAGGAAAACACTCTCAGATGCT